GGGGGGGGGGGTGCCGTGGTCCATCAAGCTTATTGGTGATTTGTCACTATTGGGAGCAAGCGCAGTGTTGTAAAAGTGCTACGTAGTCTGTCATTTATACGCACAAGAAGAACTAATCATAGTAAAGCAGGATCCAGTTTGAATTTGACTGATTATGCGGCGAACTCCCCACTTCCCTCATTTTGGTTTCACACCCCTTGCCCATGATACTAGTTTATGCTCCATCCCGGTATTTCAATATCAATGTGTTGAACTGGATCATGGGGCCATCACAGACAATAGAATAGCACAAAAAAAAAGCTTTACGTCGCTCTTGGTGGGGTCTGTGAGGCCAAACACGTCTAGTTAAGTGTCGATGCTGTTCCACAATAGAACGTTGTCGGTAGACGCTTTCGGCGACACACAGATGGCGCTGCTTGAAGTTTAATTACCACAACCGTGGCTCAATTACGGAACACACCCTATTTTGACTATTGGGAAGAAGGTTATAGAGAAAAAAGAAAAATTATTAATCTTTAACAAAACCAAATAAATATAATGTTCCCCAATTGTGGAACAATTTCAAAAATAAAATAGCACAAGGTTAGCAAAACACATAATCAAATTTTTCGAGAATTTAGTTCCTTCAATATACTTCGAAAGCAGTTGTTTCATAGTTCGACTAGACGCTACCGGTCAATATCTCTTTTTCATTCGTTCAACCGTCTCGACCGAAATATTCAGTTATTGCTTAATTCGATTGTTTCTATCGCGTTTGTCCTTTGATCTAAGTTCAAGTCTACTTCGATTACAATTTCAATTCGATTGCGTGTCTACTGTTCTAATAACTCGAATCAAATGTTTCTTTACGTAACGAAATGAACATGCAATTAGTATCGAATACTTAAAGTCCACTTGTTATTTAGAATTACAAATCTAGGGAAAAAAAAGTGACATTACTACTTATAATTTACAATTACTTTACAATTGCATTATTTAAAAATATTACTCTTTACTATCATACATATAATCTTATGCGGATGCTGTTTACGCCGTTCTCATTTCTGTAACCAATATCCGAGAACCCAGTCGATCTGTCCTTTAATATCCACGTTTTGATTATAAATTCTTTTCGCTGCTTCCTTTCGTGCGTCTACACGCAGCTATAGCTCGGTCAACACGGTGGAAATGTACGTGCATCCTATCTTACGTCATCCAGAAGTTCGTAATAATGTATTTCACCAATAAATTCACGTTTCTTCTTCGCGCATAACGAGTTTGTCTAAAAAAAAAAAAAAGAATTAATACGTAACAATGAAATCGTCCCAAGTAAGATTCTGTATTATTTGTCCCTTTTGGGAAACAACGTTATCTTTTTTTCTCCATTGTACTTCACGATGGTTCCTTTTGTCTTTGAACGTGGTTCCTTATGCGCAACAGCAACTCTTATATTTATTGTACTGCTCGACCGTCGCTACAGATATATTTAATATTTTCCTTCTCATGAACATGTGCTGGCAGCATGTGATATATGTACCTCGAGCATCCATGTCTACACGCGAACTCCCTACGTACACCCCGTACGTCAACTCGTCTCCTTCAAGTCTTCGCAGTAGCGTATAAGTGGCTGACAATGATACTCATGGAAAGAGTCAGTAAGTCCTCGACCGCCGAAGCGATGATTTCCACTGGTTGGCTATTTCGTTGACTTCGCTAAGTGTATCGCCAGACTGCTGACTACATTATCACTTTCAACGGTATCACCAGCGTTTCTTCACTTTCATTCATTTTCGGGACTGTCAAGCGACGAACAATTAATTTAATATTCTTGTGCTGGGTGGTCTGATTTAATAATTTTAAATATTTAAAAAAAGTGTGAAAAATTAAAAAAAATTATCTTTTCTTTTTAATCACAAAGTTTTACTGTAGTTTCTCATAACTGACTAAAGGTAAGTTTTAATGATCAACAATTGCACGATCCGTAAACTATCTATATGACGTGTATGTTTTCCAATAGAAATATCTAAGTCACGCAAGGGAAGCTACTGCATACTGTACTGATATGAATTTAATTAATAGAAACGGGTTTGATAAGAATTTCGATATGATTTCGTACCAAGTTCCCGTATTTCCGAAAAGTTGCCGTGCGATTTTCTGATACGTAAAAGGAAAAAGAAAGTCTAGCAGTGTCGATTCCGCAGATTTTCTACTTGTTCTGCCCGCACCGAGAAAACCGGTTTTATTGCAATTTCGTGGACCGCAAGTCGCTGAAAAATGCACATCGGGTACCGGCGTGTATTATTTCAAATACCGATCCAATATTTTATCCTGACATTGATACTTAGCATAGAATGAAGGTTTGATTGGACATACGTATTATTACAATTAAAATAAATGACTTGGTTGGACCCAGTGTATAGACTTTGTCCATGTAAATGCAGTTATGTCTCACTGTCAGTGGAAATACGTGAAAACGTATGTGCACGTTATTTGGCCCACGTGGATATAAGTTCAATATAATGCATTTTATTTATTTATGCATAACTTTTCCTTGCACATTTCTTCTATACGTACAGATCTATATATATGTATATATATTCATACAAATTTAATGGTATTAATACGTACATAGAGAAAACTACATATACATCTATACAGACTTTTTCTTCTACATTATTCACAACAATAAACTTTTTTTAGCTTATCTTTTTACTTAATTTCTTCTCTTAGAAGCTTTTGAAGGAAAAAAATGAAAGCCTACAGCATTCCATCTAATGTCTGTAATTCAGGCCGAAGCCGTTCGTAAAACCTTCGAGAAACTGTTGATAGGGTAGGTTGCGCTGCGTTGGCTTTGGTTGCGTTTCCGTTGCTGCGGGTTAACCTTGCGTTTCGAGAGTAGGCAAGTGCATTCTGAGACTTCCAGTAACCGGTGGACATTATCGAGAGTTTGCCAACTACAGAGAGTGGAGATACTTTCCAACTTCCTTTCTAGCTGCTCGATCAGATCGTTTCTTACGGCTGAGCTCAGAAACCAGGAGCCATGGTGAAGAAGACTGTGGCGTTGGAAAATATTCTAATAGGATTTTTAGAATTTGGTCCTTTCACCGGCGTCGACATTTGCAGAAAGTATCCAATCGTCGGATTAAAATTGGCTGACGCTCCTTCTAGGCCACTAAGACTTTTCGATGAAAACACTGTGGAAATTGCGTCCGGAATGAAAACGATACGCGTGTGTGTGGCACGGATTACGCAAGGGGAATTCGATTGTGATATTTGTTTTCTTACTTTACGTGCTGGGACAACAAACGGTCTTTAAAGATGCCGTTTCATTGTAATTCGCGACTCGTTCGAACTTATTTCATAAGTCACTGTTCAATTAACTAGAACTTTCTGGTGGGACTGATTGTGGTTGACGGGCTTTTTTTTTAACTTTCCGTACAAACCGCCAGGGCGGAAGTTGGCACTCCGTCGCTGGCAGGAAATGAATGCATATTTTGGTGGGGTCATAAAAGTCACTGTTGTTGGTATGAACCCAAGAAATGGTATGGCATTCGGGACCACGAAATTACTAACGATCTGCATGATCGTCACGTTCAATCGTCACAACTGCCATTGACAATGCAAACTGCTAGTACGCTTGTCTACAACCTGACTCTATAGTCATCGTAAAAAGGTAGCGTGGCTTTCAATAGGTTCTTTTACAAGGCCTTCGGAAGCATGGTATATAACGAAAAGTGATAGATTGAAATGATAAATTTTAAAACACATAACAAAGAATCGGATATAAACTGAGGAGTGAAAAAAAAACAATTTTTTCAGAATGGATTGGCTATTGCGTTTAGTGGCTTTTCTTTTAATGAAAACAGTTTTCTTGGTCAAACCAATACATTGGTTATTGAGAAAAAAACGATTGGCCGTACCACCTGTTAAGGATCCCATTATTAACCTGAGTGCCACAACATTGGCAAGGAAAATCCGCGAGAGAGAGGTACAATTTTTGTAAAAAAATTTTCAATTTTAAGAGAAGGGAAAGTATACATTACTTGACGTGCTTTTAACTTGCTCAAGATCTCCAGCGAACACGTGGTAGAGGCTTACATTAAGAGAATCAAGGAAGTTAATCCGATCCTGAATGCAGTTGTCGAGGACAGATACGAAGACGCCTTGAGGGAGGCCAGAAACTGCGACAAGAGGATTGAGACTGGAGAGGTCAACGCCATTCGGCTCGAGATCGAGCAGCCACTTTACGGTGTTCCGCTTACAGTCAAGGAGAGCTGCTCAGTTAAAGGCACGGCAGACGACAATTGCCATGTTTTGATAAAAGGCTAACAGTAGGCAGACACAAAAATGAATATTTTAACAATTCAAAATAACAGGTTTGAACTACACCGGTGGCTGCCTGCTACGTAAGGGAGTCAAGGCTGACTCTGATGGACTCGCTGTCGAAGCCCTGAGAAATGCAGGCGCCATCCCTCTTTGTGTCACCAACACGCCTGAACTGTGTCTCGGTTTCGAAGCGAATAATTATCTATACGGCAAAACAAACAATCCTTACGATACTCGACGCACATCTGGTGGCTCCTCTGGTGGCGAGGTACGTAGGCTTCTAGCGTCGGAAACTGGACGCATGCGCAAATCCTTATTCAAACGAGATCGCTTGTTCAGGGAGCTTTACTGGGTGCTGGAGCCTCTGTTATAGGGGTGGGTTCGGACATTGCTGGTTCGATTCGAATTCCAGCACTTTTCAATGGAATTTTTGGACATAAACCGACTCCCGGTAATTATGAATAATAAGTTTTTTTTTAAGTTATCAATTCACGCTATGCTTTTTTTTTTTAGGAATTATCCCAATCAGAGGCCATTTTCCATTCTCAGAGGGGAAACTCTTTCAGCAATATTTGGTAATAGGACCCATGGCAAGGTATTGCGAGGATCTGTACTTGGCCATGAAAGTCATGAGTGCAAACTGCGGGACGAATTTGCAATTAGATGAGCCAGTTGCTCTGAACAAATTAAATGTCTTTTATATGGAAGACGCTGGACAAACTGTAGGTGTTCCGAAGGTGGACGAGGATATTAAGAGAGCAGTAACGAATGCGTCCAGCTACTTTAAAGGATATGGCTGCAACGTGAAGCGGGTAACTATCAAGAAGACTATATTTTGTAATTGAACCATTGTTACGGTTATGAAATTCCTGTTAATGGCAGCGACCGATTTTTGTTACCGGCCGAAATCAGTCGATGGAAGAAATTTAATAATCTCAACTTTGCCCTAAGACAACAAAATTAGTCTTTTTATTGAAATCGACACTTTGGCTTTTAATGATAAAATGTGTTTGACAAGGTAAAGTAAAAACACATTTAAAATTATCGCCACAATCACGTCTTAAAAATACATTAATTTTGTTTCAATAAAACCAATGTTGTATAATACTAGATTTATAATTCATTGAAATAAATAAAGTCATTTCAAATAACGTAGTCCACTAGATGGCAGAACGTAAAACAGTAAACTCGTAAGCAAAATGTTCACCTCAAACGTAAAGATCAGAGCACTGAATCAGAGAATTATTTCTGCAGATCATACTTTAATAAAAATGTCTTAGAGTAACATAAATGTTCATATCAACATTGATTGACAGTTTAACGTAGATATGAGAGACGCATTAGAATACGCCCTTTCCACATTTTTCACCATGGATGAGATGCCACAGTTGCTGCTAAATCCAGACGATCCGAAGGTACTTTGTCATAAATTCAGTCCATAGCATTCCTTTATACTCTCTTTTTTTTTTCTAGAAAGAGAAGAATCTTTCATGGGCAGTAGTAAAGTCTTTGTTCGGCTTATCACCATATACAAGAACGGCACTTTACCTGAGATTCTTAAAAGACGTCAAAGTCTTCATGAATGATAAAAAAATATCACATTACAAAGAACAGGGCAAAGTATTACGAGAAAACTTTATGGTAAATACTAGGCGATAATATTTGAAAATTTTAACTCAATTCAATTACTTATTAATAACTGGTAAATATTTTACTAAAGAAAATACTCGGAGAAGATAATGTCTTAGTGTGTCCGTCATATACCAGTGCAGCGCTGATGCACAACGAGACAATTTTCAACATGTCAAGTGTGTTGTATTGTGTTCTATTTAATCTTTGGGGATTTCCCTCAACGCAAGTGCCAATGGGGTTGAACAAAGACGGACTTCCAGTAGGGGTACAGGTAAGGCAGATAATAGTGGCGTTCAAGAAATTTTTCAATTTGGATCAATGATTGGCATTTCAGATCAATCACGAGTTCATTATTTCAGGTTGTCGCCATGCCGAATCAAGACAGACTTTGCTTGGCGGTGGCGAAGGAACTGGAAAAAGGCTTTGGAGGTTGGATCCCATTCGCTGCGTAAACCAATCTACAAATAATGAAACTCAGTCTTAAGTCAGATACCTTAAAGCATCGCAAGTGTCGTGGGTGGAAAGTAAATGCTTAGTAAGGTGAAGGTTCGATACAGATAGGAGAAAGCGAAATGAATAAATGATAATAAAGTACGATGTTTCGCAAATTTATTTAATGCAATTAATTTATCCTTCTCTCGCACAAACAAGGCATTCCGAGTGAATTGAAAACTATATGCGTACCCAAGCGACTTGGCATGCACTGTCTCTATCAATTTGTTTATCTCTCTTTTCTACTATATATAGACATAGTTCATATATATAACTCATAAATACTACAATGCACTTAAATAACCCAGAATAATTCAAGGTGAGGATGCACAACGCGTATTATTAGGATGACATCACAATTACTTCGCGTCTCATTTCTATCACGACGTATTTTTTTTTTTTTTTTCAATTGTGTGAAACGTCGTAAAAAGGGAAAGGCACTTTTTTGGAATGTTACTTGTCTACGTAAAATATCAGCGTATAAACATTTGGATGCGTACAGAGTGTACTGAACAACCATACGCAAAGATAGTTCTAGGAGTAGCGCCGTTTAGCAAAATAACTAGTTTTACGTAATTCAACATTTACGATGGGGGGGGGGGGGGGGAGGGGG